CTTCCGGATGTGTGGGCTTCTGAAAAGTGAATGAGAATGTCACCGTAAATCTGTCACCCACCCTCATGCTGGTGTTTAAACATCAGCCCTTCTAAATGTTCAAAGGAGGAGGAAGAGAAAGAAGGAAGTGGAGGAGGAAAGAAAGAAAGGAGGGAGGCAGGTAGGGAGGGAAGGGGGAAGGAAGGAAAGAGAGAGACAGGAAGGGAAGGAAAAAAGGAAGGAAGGTGGGAGGGAGGAAGGAAAGGAGGGAAGGAAGAAGGAGGGTGGGGGAGGAGGGAGAGATGGAAGAAGAAAGGAGGGAGGGAAGGAAGAAAAGAAGGAGCAAAGGAAGGAAGGAAGCAGGCACTCCAATGTGGAGGCACAGCGGAAAAGGCAAGGGCTCATGACTGTCTGGAGATACAGAGCCTGTGTGCTATGGTGACCTTGCACAAGTTATCACAGGTCATAATAGAACTCAGATCCTACATGCAGAAATAAGAGACCTCACATAGGCTCATACTACATAAACAAAATTCTTGATGTAGAGCATGTCACCTAGTGAGTATCCGTGAATGGTGGCTGTGGCTGAGATTCTACACCCTCCCCCCAGACCTCTGCCACAAACACACACTGCAAAAAGTAATAGCTAATGCGCATCAAGCACATCTAATTTGCTAGGAATGGGGCGGAACCTCACCGCATCCTATGACAATCATTTTCAGCCGGAACTCTAAGTGACAAACAATCAACAGAGACCACCTTTGGGTAACTGAAGCAAAACAAACACGCAAATAAAATCATCTGTTTAGAAATAATGGATACTTATGAAAGACTCTCTATGAGGGCTGGAGAGCCAAGCTTACATGCTCTGAAACCCAATCCCAAGCCCCAGATTAGGTCCCCGGAGTAGTTTTATGAAAAGGTGCAGCGCTCTCGCCACACAGAGTCATTTCAGCTGTGATATGTGTACTACATGCTGTCCCTCGTATACTTGAGTAACTGGCGTGGGTCGTGGCCACGCTCACCTTCCTCATCAAAATGGTTTCTGCAGACTCCATGTGTCATCACCACTAACTTCTCATTCAAAGTCTTGGGGGTCCATGTGTCTGTTTGAGGGGAAGAGGGAAGGCCTGGGTTGTCTGCCCACGCCCAGGCTCCACGGGGGCCCTGAGAGAACACACTGCTATATTAGAATTATCCCCTACGTCTTGGAAGGAGATGCAGGTAGTGTAAGTCCATAAATATTGGTAAATAGATTCCATTTTGACCACGTTCTGGATGAGAACATCAAGGGCTTAGCCAAGGCCACACCTCCAAGCCTGATCTCTCAGCCACTACCTTGACCACTCACTGTCTTAACGAATGTTAGAAGAACAGTGCCTCTCAGGGCCCCCACACTCTACTCTCACTTTTCTGACTCATAAAAGTGAGATCTGCTGGAAGCCAAAGATTCATTGTTTATTTTTCAGCCATTCCTTGTAGAGGGAGATAGTTTTCTAGAGTCAAGCTATGGAGCTTGTCTTTGGAATGTAGTCCCTGTGAGCTGGGATGCCTGGACGACTCCTTTCTTCCTGGAATGTCTGTATCTCTGTGTCTGTAATGGGACTCTAGATGCCCATCAAAGGGCATGGCTGAGGTCCTACCTTTAACATAAAACCCACCTGATATACAGGGGTAAGAGAGCCTTCCCTGAATGCTATCCACACCACTGACAGTTTGGTGTTCCATTCCACTGATTTTTGTTGTTGTTGTTGTTGTTGTTGTTTCGTTTTTGAGACAGAGTCTTACTTTGTCGCCCCTGGTAGAGTACCCTGGTGTCATAGCTCACAATTTCAGACTCTTGAGCTCAACCAATTCTCTTGCCTCAGCCTCCCAAGTAGCTGGACTACAGGTGCCCGCAACAACACCTGGCTATTTTTAGAGAGGGCGGGTCTCACTCTTGCTCAGGCTGGTCTTGAACCTGTAAACTCAAGCAATCTATCTGCTTCGGCCTCCCAGAATGCTAGGATTACAGGCGCCCGGACCATTCCACTGATTTATTACGTGAATTGTTTCATAACAATATTTTTCTCATTCACCACTAAACCCTACAAGACTAGGAGCCATCTTCTTTGTAAGTCACTTACCATAGTGAGCTCTGGAGTCAGACTGTGGGTTTAAACTCCAGCTCCATCACTTAACTGTGTATATTTGGTTCACTACCCCATGGCTCACCTTCCTCTTTTTATTTTTTTTTATTATTTTTTAAATTTCAAGTTATTGTGAGGGTACAAATAACCAGGTCACAATATTTGAATTTGATAGGTAGAGTCCCTCTTGTAGTTATGTTCTGCACCCAAAAGGTGTGCCATACACCCCTAATTTGTGCCCTCTAAGTGGGACACAATTACCCCCAATTCCCCCTTCTCCCCCTCCCCCTACTCCCTTTCCCCCTAACTTGAATGAAATTAAGTTTTCCTCTTATGTGAGCATGTGTTAGCTCATCTACTGGCTTCATAATAAAATTGAGTACATGGGATATTTGCTTTTCCGTTCTTGTGATACTTTACGAAGAATGGGTTTCAACTCCATCCAGGTTATCAGGTTCCTCTGTTTAAAGAGCAGCGCAATAAAAGAGTTTTTATGAGAAAAAGAGTTTATAAATGAGCTTGGTATACAACAGGTGCTCAGCAAACACTATTGGCAGCAGAAGGCTTAGAATCTGGTGGCAAATAATAGTTTATACAATAGATCTATGAGTATCCCAGTCTCGTCCTCTTGGTAACATCTTCATCTTCATTCCTTTCCTCTTACACACCCTGTTGACACACTTTGGGAACCACAGATCTAATCCAAAACAATCACTGTGGCCAAAGCATAGAAGGGAAAGTAAGGGCCAAGCAGGAAAGGCAAGCTGGGGCTAGACTTCAGTCCAGGGCTACTTCCAGCAGCCTCTCCTAGTCCCTACCATTTGATGTTCCAAATACATTTCTTGTCTGTACCAACCAGGCCCTACCAACCGAGAGTATCGAAGGTCCCAAATCCATGGACCAAGTGTTAACAAACTTTGTAAGTAAAGGACAGGATAATACATAGATTAGGTGTTTGGGCCATAGAGTCTCTGTTTAACTACTCAATTCTGTCACTATATCATGAAAGCATCCACAGACAATATGTACATGAAAGCGTGTGGCTGCGTCCCACTAAAACTTCATATACTATTATAGGCAGTAGGTCAGTTTTGGCCCGTGGGCTATTACAGTATCCAGACTCCCTTCCATGGAGAATGAGCTTCTAACTATAAAAGATTTTTTCATTGTTGTGTAGTCACATAGTTCTAAAATAGCACAGGGTATGTGTGACAGGACTCAAACATCTCTTAGCATATCATATCCCATTTTCACATACCCCAACTTCTTCCCAGAAGCATCTAAGTTACATGCCACAGGAATGCAAGTAGCATAGGCAGGCATCTTCCAGCACGGTCTAGGACTAATGCTAACTGCTGTGAGGGTACAAGTGTGGCTCATGATTATGAGGAAGTCAGTCACATACCTCGGAATTCGCACCAGAGTGAAGGTAAAACTCTTAGAGTCCATTTAGTCCAATCATTTTGATTTACAGGGGGTGAACTGAGGCCCCAAGTTGAAAAGCAAGCTGGCTGGCTTCATGCAATTCTGGGCACAGCTGCACCATACTGCAGTGGTGCTCTAATTTTAGTCCAAGGTTCTTTTCACGGCACTATTAGGCTAGTATCAACCATATTCAAAGCGAAAGAGGAGAGAAAAAAACCTTTTGCAGTTGAAAAACCCAAGGTCCTGCCTAAAACCATCCCATGTCCTTCCTCCCTAAGCTTCTGCAGGCTCCTCTATTGCATTGCTCAGCCCCCACTGGGTGCCAAGGAGTGAGTAGATGATGAATAAATGTGAGTTAAGAATTGAACAAGAGATAAATGACACGGGTTTTACCCTCACGGAGCTCACAATCTACCAGGAGAAAGGACGTCTAATGCACCTCTGTAATGCACCGCAGATGCCAGGATGCAAGGACATCTCCTTCCCTTTCGTCTTCCTAGAAAACTGCATTTCAGTGAGCAATCTTCCCACCAAGGTTTTCACCCCCTCTGTAGCTGCCCCTTTCCTCTCCAGATAGAGCACCTCTGTCTTTTGTACTTGCAAATGAATTGTGATTAGTTTTCACCTCCAGCCCCTGGGATTAGCCGGAGGACCTTTGATCTTCAGGTATCGATTTGCATCTTAAAGGAAGTATGATCTCATCTGGGCCAGCTCAAAATTCCATCCCTGCCCCCAACCCTTGTCTGTTTACCAGCCCCGGGCTAGGCAGGGCCTCCCAAGTGGGGCTGAAACAACAAGATCAGCCAGACTCTGCAAGAAGGCAGAGGAAAACAAATTTCCCAAGTGACTCTGCAAAGGTGGGAAAAGGACGTTTCCTTTCTAAACACAAGCTGGTCTGCTATTCCTCCTCCCTCAGATCAGAGAGACTGCCCAAGGTTCGGAGTCTACAGAGGGGACCCTGGTGGTTCCAAGATCCTGGCTAGAGGTTCTGTTCCAAAATGAGCTGAGTGGGCAATTGAGAAACATACAAAATCATGTTCAAGTTCTCGGCCCCTGTCTTCAGTCTCATTTAACCTGTATGACTCTGGACAAGTTTTATAATCTTTCTAGCTTCTAATTTTTCTCACCCATGAAATAAGAATAGAAGCCTTAAACATCTATAATAATAGGCCTCCTGGACAGCTGGTGTGAAGAAAAGCAATAATATTTATAAGGTAAAGCTTGATCAAAGAAAAAGTAATCTGTCCTTGTCATTACCTACAAGAAGAGGGCTTGACTGGTTGGTAGGTTGGTTGGTTTTTTCACTGCTGTATCTCCTGATGTCTAAAAACAGTGCTAGTACATGGGAGGCACTCCCATGCGTGACATAAAGAAGTGAATCGTAATGTAGACATAACTATTTTTGTTACTGTAATTGACCAGGTATCCATTCCTCCAGCCAGGCCCTGAGAAATGGCAGAGACTTACCAATGCAATTGAAGGAAATTTCTTGTTGGCAGAAAAGGGAGCAGCCATCACCATTGATTTTATTCATGTCATCGCATTCTTCACCTTGGCCTCTGCAGAACCAAGATAAAATTGGACAGGTAAGTTTCAGAACGACGGCCAACATGGAGAAGTCTTCTCTGGCCCATGAACCCTTTCATGAGACCCTGGACAGATCCCTTTCCCTGCTTGAGTTTCTAGTTCTTCAAACTAAGACTTGTTGTAAAAGGTGCAGATTTATAAAATACGATTCCATTTGTTTTACTTTGTGTTTCTGATGATGAAGTAGAATTCCTGCTTCACACTCATTCTCTAGATGGGAGTAAGAAATGGATGAATAAACGCACAAATTCATGAACAGACCTTTCCCTGCAGTGTCTAGACAATCTCATTGCCATTTTTGTGTCTCTGCTTTTAGAAGGTCAAATTCAAAGGACATGTTGGAGGTTCTATCATGTAAATGCTGTTCCTTCAGCATTCCCTGCCTTGATACCTTCCTACACCCACAATGCACAATTTTTCTACTCCTGGGTTCCAGGTTAGTCATTCTTTCACTGGTAAGTTTTGTTTTCTCCATTGGGCATGTCATTTCATGGTGTCCAGAACTCCGAGGACTGTGGGACAATGCTATTACGAAATAAAGAATGCCCCCACTTGTTTTTGTTGGAATTATTTCCATTGCCAAAGATGATTTTGCAAAGGTTGGGATGGGCAGAAAATGAGCAACACTCTTTGAATTGGGCTTAGGCAAGGAGGAGGAGGAACAAGACCTGGAAGTCTCTCTGGATTGTTGCTTTCTGGAAAATCCCCATCCTTTAAAAACAGAAAACGTAGCTTTAGAACCCCAAGCTTCAAACTAGCCATGTGAGCTTAGGTAAGTCACTTGGCTTCTCTCCGACTTGCCCATCATGATCTAAATTTAGAAAGAATAAAATGAAATGTAATTAAAATTCCAGTCACAGCCGCCACATTTCACAGCAGCCATAAGGACTCAGTAACTATATGTGGCTAGTGGCTACTGTGTTGGACAGCACAGAATATGTTTCTATCATTGCAGAGAACTCCACTGAGCAGTGCTCTTATACACAGACACTGGATCGCATGTGTGAAAATGGAGAGAATAAGGCCTAATCCTTAGAGTTCAGTGCAAGGTGAGAATGTAATTTAATGTGACTGGAACAGTGTGGGGCACGCAGTAGATGCCCAGAAAATCACAGTTCTCATTTCCACTCTGCCTTGGGAGGCCTCTACAGCATATGTGGCAGCTGTCCCTCTCTCCCAGAAGACCAGCTGGGATGTGTCACAGCATGGAAGAGGCCTCAGGCTCGTTTCACCAGGGCAATTAACACTGGATGATGTTTGTTGCTTTTAGGAGGTGTTGGAGTAGCAGGGTGGTGCCATGCAATTACCATCAATGGCCAGGACACTGCATCCATCTCCAAGAGCCACCCAAGTTCTTTCCTGTCTACAAACCCAAGAACAAAGAAGTCCACCTTCCTAGCTGGTCCCAGAATTGTCTGCCAGTGAATCTTGCTGGCTGGAAATTGCTGGCCACCTTGTGCTTCCTAGCAGTTCCATGGGTTGACTGGGAAGAAATTGTTCCATTCTTTTAAAAGAGGGCTGGTTTCCTAAGCTACAGAGAACATTTCTAACCTGCTTTCTATCACCACCCAAATATTATCTTCTAGGCATGACAGAGGTATCATTAGATAAAGAGGTCCTGAGAAACCTTCTTTGACCTCTCGGGCTGGAGCAAGTGCCATCTTTCTGTGTATACCTAGGCATCTCGGTCCATCAATCACAGCACTTTGTTCAACTGTTTTTGCCTGTTACTTGACAGCCCCCCATTCTATGCCATAACATCCCATAGGAAGTGACAGAGTCCTGTCATCCTGGGAAGTAGCAGCTGCTCTTTTACTTGTTAGATACACAGGGTTGTAACATCCCACGGTAATACGATGGCGAATCCAGATGAGAACTTGGCTTTCAGTTCACATAATGGTCCTACTACTTACTGGGTGTGTAAGCTTGAGAAAAACTCTTTAATCTCTGTGGGTGTTAGTTGCCTTTTCTGTCAAGTATGATAATAGGACCTACCTAGTACGGTTGTTGGGGGATCTCAGGAGATAATAATGTAGCACAGGGTTTTGCACATAGTGAGGCTCAGTAAACGTGTATAAATATCATTATCATAATATTCATCCAGTATCTTTATCTTTGAACTTGATATGAAATTGGGATAATGTGTTGCTGTGGCTCATTTAGGACTGAGCCTTCATCTATGAGGAGCCCCACACAGTGCTGAGTCTGTCCATATTTCTTTACCAATTCCCTTATAGATAGAGCAAATACACATGTATCATCCCATGAAAAATCCTATTGGCTAAGATGATACCCATCCTTTTCTCCAAAGATGTCCTTTTTTCCCCCATAGGGGAATATTCCTAAGCGGCATTGTGTTTTCTATAAATTATATCAATAAATATTTGGTAGGTGACTAAATGAGTTCTGCTGCCTGTGCAGAATACTAGTTATAGGTAAAAGTACTAACAAAATGTATTAAGTTAATAATACTATTTAAAATCAATAATTACGATGATGATGATAACAGCTTTACATCAGAGAGAACAATAATATTGTTTGCAGTATTTTCCCAATGCATCTCTGTCTCCAAAATGGATAGACTAAGCTATCAATCAGGCTCCAAATCTTGAGACTTTAAAAATATATTTGTGCATGGGCCCAGTGGCTCACACCTGTAGTCCTAGCACTCTGGGAGGTCAAAGCAGGTAGATCACTTGAGCACGGGAGTTGGAGACCAGCCTGAGCAAGAGTGAGACCCCACTTCTACTAAAGATAGAAAAACTAGCCAGGTGTTATACTAGGAACTTGTAGTCTCAAATACTCAGGGGACTGAGGCAGAAGGATCACAAGAGCCCAGGAGTTTGAGGTTGCTGTGAGCTGTGACGCCACAGTACTCTGCCCAGGGCAACAGAGTGAGACTTTGTCTCAAAAAACAAACCAAAAAAAAAAAAAAAAACTGTGCCAAATTAGAAAATCCCAAATCACAATTGTATGTTCTCAGCAAGGACTGGAAGTGTTTTCTAAATATTTTAGATATGCAGCTCAATCTTGGACTCACAAATGATGGTACGTTTTCTCCAAAGAGATCACTCTGCTTAGCAGTTCAGCACTCCATCGGACAACAGCTGTATTAAAAGCTGGAAGTCGATCTTTTAATGTCAGACAGAATAGTAAAAAAATTTCCTTTCCCCAGTTTTGTTGCATTGGAAACTATATATTCTCTTTCTGTTGCCACATTTGGAGGTGGATCCTAAGTACACACAACTTTGTGTGTTATATTTAATATAACACATCATTAATTTTATTCCCAAACAAGCAAGCAGCTGCACAGTCCACTTGAGGAATCAAATTCTTGGCAATCAGCTGATTTGCACCATCATTTAACACTTAAAAATCCTAACATTATCTCCTCAATACGAAAGTCTCAATATTTCAGATATGAAGTTATAGATGTAGAACATTAAAGACGTACAGCTACATCCCTGAGATACATTACATCAGCCAGCCATTTGAAATCATGAAAATAATTGTTACTTGCCATAGCAGTGCCAGTATTTTTAATGAATGTCATTCCTACGTCAAAAACTTAAATCAGTACCCTTCTGTTAATACTTGGCATACTTTAGTAGGTGGGGGGTAGAAGGGAGCAGAATCTTGTACACACTATTATCTTTTCTTCCTTTTTAAATATTTATTTATTGATTTATTTAGGGGAAGTACCTCGCTCTGTTGCCTAGGGTAGAGTGCTATAATGTCAGCCTACTTCACTGCAATCTCTTCCTCCTGGGTTCAAGGAATCCTCCTGCCTTAGCCTCTTGAGCAGTTGGGGTACAGATGCCTGCTGTAACACCTGGCTAATTTTTCTATTTATAGTAGAGATGGGGTCTTGCTCTGGCTTAGGCTGGTCTCGAACTCCAGAGCTCAAGCAATCTCCCAGCTGTAGCCTTCCAGAGTGCTAGGATTACAGGTGTGAGCCACCCACCCCTGGCCAGGTACCACCATCTTTTTGAACAGCAAGTTGAAAAGATGTAAGTCACTGGTCCTCATATGATCATATTTTCAACATCCCTATCTCTTTTCATGCTAAATGATCGTCAGAAAGCACACTGCCGGCCCTGGCTGATGTCTGTGTGGCTGGGTAGTCCTGTGCTAACTCTTCTTACTGGTGTCATTGCACCATCCTTGCTGTACTCGTAGCTGGTCCCTTTATCCCACAGTAGAGGTTTTCAGTTTACATTCCATACCACAACATCATCAGTAACTCATTAAATGGTTCTTCCCTTCTCGAGTTAGTGATGAACAAAAAGAAATCGTCATCTAGCATGTCTTTGTTGTACGTGAACTACACCTATGAGCTGATTCATGCTCTGCACGTCAGCGGTTCCATCCAACTGTGAGGCACATTCTTTTTTTTTTTTTTTTTTACACCACCCCTCCTGCTACAGAAATAGTCATTGTAATTCCATATTGCACAGATATTATATGACACCCAACAGTGCTATTTAATGAAGGAATGTTGCCAATAGCTTGTTTTGCCATCTCCACACATAATGTTTACCATTAAATCTGTCAGTAGCTTTAGAACTCTCTTAGCCATAGTGCAACTTGCAAATAAATACTTTAGCACTGAGAAACATCATTTTAGCAATAAGGAAGTTAATTTTGAATGATCATTTTTCTCTTCTCCACCTCTAGAGACAAAACTCTCAATTGTGTGCCAGAAACACATTTTTGTGCTTATTCTGGAGGAGAAGAACTCAAGAAGTTTATTTATTGAGTTTTAAACAATGCAAATGTCTTGATGGCTTCTTGCCCCCGTTTGGCAGTTACGTAACATCTTGTCCTGAGGACAAGCGGATGAATAGACTGATAATCTGACAAAATCCGTTTTTAGACATGCATCTTTGTATCTTGAAATCGTAATTTCCTTTCTTGGCTGTCGTCTTCACCACTGATTCCTCTGCCTCAGTGTACTTATATTCACATTCGATATTCCCTCCCCAGGACTGCTTTCTATTTGTGGCTTAAACTTATAGTGACTTGGAATACTTTGCTACTTTTATGAGCCTTTGACCCATTTTGCAAATTGTTGACATAACACAACACAATAAAGGTAACAAATAAATATGCAGCTTTAACAAACGTAAATGGTGACTAGCAAACCCTGTCAAAGTGATTTAACCTGGAAGAACTGGGTCCCGGTAACCCAGCATGGGCTGTGATGGAAAAGTCTCAGAGAATCCGTGTACCACACCTAAAACTACTAAGAACAAGAGCAAATGATAATAACTGCATAATGGTAGCTCTCTCTAAATCGTACACCATACTACATACTTGGGAAATGTGTGTGTTCTAAAAAAAATGTTTTTCTTCCAAGGTCAGAAGTTTGAAGACCAACTGATAAATTACTGGGATACTTGGTAACTCACAGCTCACCCACTGAAGAGTATTTCCTAAGCATTTCTGGCCATTATCTGATCATTCTCCCTCTGTTCAGCCCCCTAACCGTCTCTTGGCCTAATCGGCATCCCTCCTCCTCTTCTGCCTTCAGGTGGATCTACTTACTTCTGGATAACTCCATCACCACAGTACCCGCTCCCGTGGATGTATATGGCAGCAGGGGATGGCTCACTCTCTTCAGTTCCTGATATAGTTATGATCTGATACTGGTACACACTGCCAAGATTTAGATTCCTGGAAAAATATAAGGAAGACTATTAGCTATACAAATACAACACTGGGGGCAGACAAGGAGAGGATAGGAAATTGATTCCCTGGAGGAGGTGCTGCCAGCCTCGCTCTTTTGAAACCAAATGCACATTTAGTTATCCAACAATTTTTACTGTCTGTTATGGTTAAGACCTTATTTTTATTGCCTACTATGGTTAAGGCAGTCTGCTAAGCATAATGGACTATACTACAACGTACAGCAATAATAACCAACATCAACTGACTGATTAATAACCACGGACGTTACCCGGGAGCTTTTTGTCTTTAAGCTTTATAAAAACCCACATAGAAGAGTGTCAGATGGCATGTGATCCATCATGAAGGTGCGTGAAAGAAAGCCATCCAGGAAAAATTAATATGATCAGCAAAAGACCAGAGGCGGGAAAGGGCCATGTTAGATTCTCTGGACATTATCTTATTTTCCCGCGTTTAAAAACCTGAGCAGAAACCTCATTACACGCGA